GGATTTTCGAAGGGCCGTTTAAACTTAAGAAATTCAATACAATAAAAATTTTGGTAAATGATACATGAAAGTTAAGCAGAATGACTGAAAACTAAAGAAAAATATATTTATGTTTCCATGTGTCTCATTTAGACATCGGAACATACTATGAAATAAATTCAATTTCTAACCAAAAAAAAAAAAAACATTAAACATCAACAGTTCAACATATCACAAGATAGATCCTGAGTCTAATACCACAAAAACCAAAGATACATACAAGTTGTACAATCCTTCGAAAAACCCTATAGAAACAACCCAAACAAATACATAAAAGGGGAATATATAAAAAATAACAAATAACAAAAAGAACTAGTATCGAGGAAAAATAAATATCACTTTGCAGATTGGGAAACCACAATGCACAAGTACCAATGGTCAAAATAGGAATAAAGAGAGTTAACTGTTCCAATAGTCACTGAACTTATATCCGTGTCTTCGATTACTCACTGAATTTTAAAATGTCAAGTTTTGACTATTGAATTTTAGAAAATATTGTACATTACTCACTAACATAATTTTCGTCTCAAACTTCTATTGGAATTAATGACGTGGCAACGAAATACATATGTGGCATTCCTTCACACAGTTTAAATTTGATATAATTGAATTTTGGCTACTAAAATTTGAAAAATGTATTATATTACTTACTAAACTTTTATGTCGTCGAATTTTGGCCACTAAATTTTGATATGGTCGAACTTTGACCACTAAATTTTGAAAAACGTCTTCTATTGCTCATTATAAATTTGGATTTAATTAAACTTCCATGTATCTCTCTTTAAAACAAAACTCTTTATATTATACTCATTTTCAACAATACATTTATACAATAAAATATTTTATATGTAAATTCAAAATTTTGTCCAACTTTTTAACCTTACATTCTCAAAAATATCACTATTGAAAACCTTTTTAAATACAGGCCATCAAATGGGAGCTAAAATTCGTTGTTAAAATTTGAATTTAATTTAATTTTAACAATAAATATATTGTGTGTTTCATTGCAAATAGTAGTCGCTTCCTTTGCATAGCTTTGTAAGCATTGTCTATATCACTAAGAATGATTACTCAATTACACGGTAGTTGAATTTAATTTTAATTTATTTTTGTAGAATTTAAGCTATTATCATCATAATTTATGAATTTTACAACAAAACATGTAATGAATTTGTTGTTAAATAAAATTAAATCCAAATCTTAACAATGAATTTTAATTAAATTAAAATTTACTGTAAGCAATAGAAGACGTTTTGCAAAGAAAGTGACAATTAATTGCAATGAAACACACAATATATTTATTGATAAAATTAAATTAAATTCAAATTTTAACAACTAATTTTAGCCCATGTATTGGAAATATTCCATATACAAATTAAATTCGGCACCATTATAGGATCTATTACTGGAATATTTCCTTATTATTACTTTTCCTCTTTTAGAGCCTTCGTATCAATCCTCATCATGTATATATATTTGAGACCTTTCTGCCATAATTGAATGAAGCTTTTTGCCGTCTCTTTTATTTCATCACCATGTTTGATGGCCATAATTATTATTATTTTAAAAAGTGTTTTAAATGGTATTTTTTTTTTTTTTTGGAGAATAGATGAATAAAAAGTTGAAAAAAAATTTGAGTTTAAGTGTAAAATATATTTATTGTATAAATGTGATTAAAAATAAGTTTAAAAATTAAAGAGTTTTATTTTAAAGAGAGATAATAAGAGATTTAATTAAATCCAAATTTATAGTGAGTAATAGAAGACATTTTTCAAAATCTAGTGGCCAAAGTTCAACTATATTAAAGTTCAGTGCCCAAAATTCAACCACTCCTAAGTTTAGTGATCAATAAAAAATATTTTTCAAAATTTAGTGCTCAAAATTCGACTATCTCAGAGTTTAATGGTGCACCACATGTACATTCTGTTAGTCACATTATCAATTCCGCTTGAGGTTTGAGACGAAAGATATGTCAGTGAATAACGTACAATATTTTTCAAATTTCATTGAGCAATTGAAGACATAGATGTAAGTTCAGTGGCTATTGGAACAAATAACTCGAATAAATATTAAATCAAATGAACCATGTGCCTAAGTTCTGCAATGAAGAGAAAAATGGAATTTACACTTGAATAGTGACAGATCTGGAAATATCCAGAACCAATTTCATTGTCTTTCCTCAAAGATCTGCAAAGCTTCTATACTAAACTCAATACAAAATCATTCAATCGATTTTAAAAATCTTTGCACTGAAACTTCTTCAAGAAATCTATAACCTTCTTCACTAAAATAATGTCATTTCCTCAGCAATGAATTTTGGGCCTCACAAATTTACCTCTTTTTGTTAGGAAAGTTCGCTTATCTCTACTTTTATCCCAAATGCCCATGATTTTACATAATGAAACAGGTAATTGAGTAAAATTTTTTAGTAAGAAATGGGTAAAAAGTTATACATATTTAAACAAGAAATCAATATCCAATAGAAAAGATCTATTTGGCCAAAAATTACAAGAAAAAATCCATCTAATTAACTGATCTCATAAATCCCTCAGAGATAAAGCTTACAGTCCAACTTGAAACAATGGAGAATCAGATTTCCAGAAACTGAGACTATATTGGAAAATTGAGGGTTGATATAGTCGTGTATTCTGGCATCCATACGAGGAGTTACCAACAAATAACAACCACACAACAGATCGGAGTGCCACTGTAGCGGCGACACCCAAAAACACCTAAAAATAACTACCTTACCGCAAACACCCAAAATCAACACATCATCACTGTTGTTGTGGCAACTGGAGTGCGAACACATATCAAAGAGAAGAAGCACCGCATCAACATTTTCGCCATCCCCAAGACCACATCCACATCACACCGATGATGAAGGAGTGAGGGCGACAGAGATAATGGAGGTGGTCGATCGAAGGGGTGATTCAGCGTCTGTGCGTTACACTGGTGAATGAAGAGGTGAAGGTGACGAAGGTGATGGAGCTGATCGATCGAATGGTTGATTTAACATCTGTAATGAAGGGGTGATTTGCACAGCATTGACGAATCGCAAAAATCAGTTGGCACCGAAGGTTGGAATTAGTGTCGCCCGGTGAGTTCTTAGACAGTCGGCCCAGCTCCTTCGTCATCGGTCGCCAGAGTGAAGAGAGAAGGAACGAAAAAGAAGATAGATATGAGAGAGATGAAGAGAGAAGAGGGAAACGAAAATTTATTTAGGGTTTGTATTATATTGATACCTGATTTGTGATTAATAAAACCTTATACTTGAATTTTGAATTGTACTCTTCAATCCCCTGCTTTTACGTAATTTCCACCTAATTAAATTAGGCTGCTTAAAATGGCCCAAACAGTATTGGGGTCGGGTCATTTCATTGTGGAGTCGATTCATCATTAAGTCATTTGGTCGATACCGACTGAGAAAATATATCGAGTTACATATATATGTATATATGTATAGATATATACATCCGTACTTATATACAGTTGTAAATAAGTATATATGTATGTATACATATATATACTGCTCAAAGCCTCAGACATATTAATTAGACAGGCATTATTAATGACTACTACACTTTCAGTAAAAAAATTTTAAGAAAAAGATTCAAAAGTATACTTTTATTTAGTTACCGATTTCATCTATTATGGAGTCTTTCTGTTTTATAAAATTGGATTAATTTAAATGTTCAATAATTATATTCAGCTTCATGAACAATAAACTAATATTAATCCATCATTCTGTTCACTAAATGATGGATCTCTTTAGTTTTCACTGAGAAAATTTATCATCCATTTCAAGTTCTTGTTCGATAAAACTTTGTCAAAATTTTATTATCTTTCCAATGTATCAAACATTAATTTTAAACCCACCTTTAATGAGACCCACAACTTATATCAACTTTCCAAACTTATCAAAATTTGCTAAAACTTTTATAAAAAATTTTATCACACAAACCCGAGTTATCATTATTTATTATATTTTTATTTTTTGAGTGAAGTAATAGTATCGAAATCTTGGCACTTGATTGTTCAAGAAAACAAATTCCTAGCATTATATTATTAAACCTTAATGATTCAGTCGCATTTAAGAGGCTACCAGAAAAACGTGCCGAACTTTCTTTTCAAAGCCTTTGATATATTATAGTAGCATTTTTGGAATTGCGGTCATGATTCAGTTATTATAGTCTCCTTAATTACGAAGAGTGTTTTTCTCGTCATTTCAAACTTGCAATTGATTTTCAAAAATTGGCGAGTTTGAAATTTATTTTTGAAGAGTGTGGTGTACAGTCTTTAAGTTCTGGGTTATGTGACAACATCGTATCACGGGAATTGAGGATTTAGCTTAGAATCCACGATCAACATAGAAAATCGAGGGTTGAGATATTTTTAGTTTCCGGCGGTGGTGATTGATGTAGAATAGGGGGCTGCCATGGTGACTATGGTGGTGGACCAACCAAGGAGAAGACGACAAGAAAATGTTTGAATTGTATAGTTTTACGATAGAAGTATCTCTTCTCACAAATGATTAAAAAATAGTCTTTATTATATAACTTCTTATTTAGAAGATCTTTTTAATCAAATATCTCACATGCTAATGTTTTAAAAGACATTCTTTTGTTTAGAATCGGTCATGTCAATATGAACTTAGTCAAATTGACTCACTTTTGTCTAAATCGACTTGCATCTACAATTACCAAATTTTATCTTATTCCCGATAATCAACTATGTTCTAGTTGTCAATCACACCAAATTAGGCCAATTTTGAATTTCTCAAAAGTTTGAACACAAAAATATGAGATCTAACTTACACGATAAAAGACTGAATAATTCATATCTTGTTATCAATAATACCAATACCATTTAAAACTAGAATTCAATTTTATCAACATGAATACTCCAAAATTAGGTAAAGTTCGATTGACGATTTAAAAATTAAATAACAAAAACTGCAATGATACATAAAATTCAAACTTTTATTTGCATATAGAAGTTATCACAAGATATCTTCAAATTCTCACAGCATCTTCCAAACTTGTATTATTGAAATTATGAAAGTAGATATTTAGCTGATGCTTATTAAACTAGTATGACTTATTATATTCTCCATATCAGCTAAGAGCTTATTCTTGATAACTAGAACTTTTTGTTTTTGCAAAGTTGTCTCAAACCCTGAAAATCAAAAAGAAAACAAGAAAATACATATGTTAGTACCACAAGAGATGATGATCAAAACACTTTAATGCTGAACATTATGTTTAACTAACTAAAGGTCTCTCTTTTATATAACAACTTAAACTTTTAAATGGACAAGTTTAACATGGTATCAAAGTCATCAAACAACATGAAAAATTATGTATATATTTGATGAAAAAATATATTTGGCGGGAAAAAAATGTGTTTAACCAGCAGGTACGGTGAATGGCTAAATTTAAATAAATGTATCTCCGCTCTGTTTAAACTTTTAGATAAAGTGATTTGACTCATAATATATATATATAAACATATGTATAAAAGTAGAATATTTCCATACTGGTTATAATCAATCCTGATTCTTCCAGCATCGGGGTTAGCTATGACGGAGAAGGCTTGCTGGGAGAGATCAAGCTGGTCATTTCCACATCCTGGGCAAAGATCTACAATTGTTACGGTAACTTCATTTCCCGTGCAAGCGTTGGCAGGTCCAGTGCACCTCACTCTGTACCTTCGTCCACATGCTGCTCCATTGTTGTATAATGAAGGATTTGCTGCTGCTACCATTGTACCTCGGTCTTCGAATCCATAACATGCCGATGCTGCACATAGTTCAACTAGTTTGTTAGCTTGCTTTAGCCTTTTTTTGGGGCTCCATTTTAATGATGTTTTAGAAAAAAAAAATGTATTTTTGAATAGTGATTTTTTGAAAAATGTGTGATTTAAAAAAAAAGGGGAAATTTTTGGATTTACGTGTAATATTATTTTATTGAAAAATGTGTGATTTATAAAAAAAGAAAAAGAAAAAAAAGGTATTAAAATTAAAATAGAGTCCATAACTTAGCTTGATTATTAAGTCCTGAGGAAACGATAATATGAAAGAAAACTTATAAATTTCCAAATATCAGAAACTTACGAACAAGAGTAGTGTAGAAAGTGGCAGTTCCAGGGATGGCACTGGCCATGGAAATCAGGCTAGTGGCAATGAGTGTTGCGATGATAATACGTTCAATCGCCATTCTCAAATCTTTTAAGTAATGAATGCTTTAAAATTTGGTTTCTAGTTTGTATTCAAAGTGCAATCACAATTGCCTGCATCTAAGGAACTAGTAATCATCTTTATTTATAGCAACGGGACATGCTACAATTCAACTTATATTTTTTCTCCAATGGCTGCTACATCCTATCCGAAAACAGTATTCGCACGTTTCGTTGGTCTTCAGAATGACTTTTTGCAGGTCTTATTAGATATATGATTAATATTTAGTTATGCTCAATTTCTGAGATAATGATTTATCAATGAGAAATTATGAGCTATTAATTGCTTGCATGGCTAATACTATATGATTTTAACTGTTAGATCATGTGTCCTTAAAGTACATATTTGATACACGATTTGTAAAGTAGACAAGATTTTAATATACTGTCTAATATTATCCTGTGGTCTAAACATTGATTTCTCTCTTCAATTCTAGAAGTAGCAGATGCTTCGAATTCAACATATTTAAGCCACAATATGCATTTATTAATTAAAATAGAGTCATTTTCTGCACGCAATTACGGGAAAAATTTTGCTCATAAATTTCAAAGGTGGCCTAATCGTCAAGCAGAGATAAGGAGGGAGTCCAAATGAGTACGTAAGTTCGAATTTCAATTTCTTTATCTGACAAAGCAAATTATATTAGAGGAAATTTTTGGAGGAAGATACTTAGTTTATATATATATATATAAAGAGCTATTCTGAAAGTGCTTTTAGTGAAAATCATATTGGACCAATTTCCGGTAAAAACATTTTTAATTAGAAGAAACACTTATATAAAACTAGTTAAATATGTCCAAAATCAACTTTTGAGTCTCAAAAGTCCCTTTTTAACAGTTTAAAAACCATGCCAAAGAGGTCCTAATGCTATTTAGCACATTATAAGTTTGTTTTGAGGAAAATTTTACTTTTACCATTTCTAGATCTTTTAAAGGCCAAAAAAAAAAAAAAAAAAAATCATTTTCAACCACATATTCTCACAATAAAAATTTTTCACTTAAACAAAAATTTTTCCCTATTTTTTAACCACATATTATTATTAAAAAAAATAAAATTCCAAAACTCAAAATTTTCCAAATAAAATAAAAATTATAAAGGTTGTCTAATAGGGCTTTAAAATTACCCCCTCCATTTTTAATGAATTTCCCCTTATGTTCAACTTTTGTTAATGACTAATTTTGTAAGTTGTTATTACATAATTAGATAAAATAGAAGCAGTCAACATATGTTTTTAAATTTATGAGAAAAGAAATTAGTTGACAAAGATTAAAAACAATAATGTAAAATGAAAAGATGCTATATTCGGTCAAATATTAACTGAATATAATTGATATTTTGGAATCGCTAATAATACATTTTGAGTCCCATTTTCCAATAATACATTTTTTTCAAACTCATTTTCAACCACATATTTTCTTCATAAAATAAATTACATACAAATCTAGAATTTTTTTCCTACTTTTCAACCATACATTCTCTAAAAAACCACTATTCCAGAATCTTATTTTACCAAATAACGGGACTCAAATGAGGGCTATAATTTACTTCAATCTCACATTCCAAAATTTTAAAATGAAAAAGAGAGTGTAAAAAGGAATTAAAGAATTGTTTGATTCAGATTTTAATATTACTTGAAATTCACTTACAACTATATATTTTTTTAATAAAATAATTTTGCACTTGGACCTACAATTGTTTCATTTATTTTAACCACTTAGGGTCCATTTGGAAAACTTTTGAAAAGTCGAAAAATTATTTCTGAGATTAAGAAACTATTTTTAAACATATATATTTGAATAATTTTCTGATAGTGATTCGTCTGGCTAAAAACAAATCTTATTTCACAATTTTATTTTTTTTTTCCAAAAATCAACATGAAACAAGGGCTAAAAAAGAAAAGAATTTAGAAAGGTCAACGAGGCACATTAAATTTTTTTCTTTTAAAAAAAAAAAATCCTTTGTAATGGTAAAATAGTGAATAAGTTGTCCAAAACAAATCTCAGGGAGTGTATTTGTATTTTTATAAATTTGAAGAGATATTTCATATTTTTCACAACTGGCATATGAGGGATGTCTCTTCAATTTGCTCTATGTTTCGTTTCTTAATTGTTCATCTCACTATACATAGATTTCTTTCGTAAATCTTGTCAATCTTTATAAATACTTTAGTATCATCCAAAAGTTTTGATTTTATTTTAGTTCTTTTCACTTATTATATGTACCGTTATTACATATATTTGACTACGCAAAGGATCTAGAAGATAAGATGATAAACATGTCATCCAGCATAGTACTAGATGATAAGTCTGGACCAAAATTATGACAATTCAACTAAGAGTCTCAGTCAAGAAATGGAAATTGTCTCGTTCTAAATTTGCAATTGTTGACTGGAATGTTTGTTGCTGGGAGTATGAAGCAAATTGCGTACTTCTTAATAGTGACCACGTCAAACATTCATATTTCCACATGGATCGAAAATATTTGTCAATCACCAAAATGGTCTTTTATTAATTACAAGATAAGAATAACCTTAAATATTTTATACAATTAAAAAAAATAAGGGCTTAAAAAAAATAATAATACCCCTTAAATTACAATGTAAAAACTAAACACCTCTCACTTAAAATTTTAAAATCAAGTCAAGTCACTTTCATTATCTGTTTACTCCAACATGAATAAAAACTTTTTTATTTTTTATCTCCGTCAATCTTAAAATCTCATAAACTTATCAAACACTCAATATAAATATTTCCCTTTTATCCAACACTTCGAATCGGTGAGTATATTTGCATATTTAATATCATTTTCACTAAATTAGTATACTATTCAAACCGTTAAATTTTATTTTGACAGATGCTATAGCCTACATGGATAATTTTATAATAAAAGAGTAAAAAGTATTATTGGGCCGTACGACCCTGTCTTTCGTTAATGGATGGCCCCACCACTTTTTTCTCCTCTTCCTACACTTATTGGTTAATTCCTTTGGAGGAATCTAATTTTTTTCTAATATTTTGATTTATAGTGCAGATATGGCATTAGCATGATCCTTGATTTGTTACTTTTGCGAATTTCAAAGGAATGAAATAGTCGACGGGAATGTAAATGGATGAGTGAAGGAGATGGAGTTACTAAAATTGTGATAACATCAAGTATATGTGGAAATGTTCTGTGACATACAAATCCTGCTTACCGTCGATCCATCTCAATACAATATGGAATTGAGATTTTATTTAACGAGCATTCAATTATTTTGATTTCACCTGTAAAAGTTACTTTTGAAGTGTAAATGAAGTTGCTAATTGAATTGAACTAAGGCCGCAAATTGACAATTGTTTGTGTAACTTTATTGAGGAAGAATGTCCTCAAGAGTGAATGTGAAGATTCTGATAGAGGGGTTGTAATCTAAATGATTTTTGGGATATAATGGAGATAGCTCGTAAGGATAATGTGGTTATTCTTGAGATAGTTGCTACTCACCACGATCTCATTGTTAGGCACAAAATTCACAAGGTAGTTCAAGATAATGAGGATGAAAGGTGGTTTACAAATCAGGATTTGATTGCTTTATCCAGATAGAGACAAGAGTGCGGTGAGAATTTACAAGCTTGGTCGAGTACAAGGTCTTCTAATCGTTCACATGTGGTTCCTGATGATGAATATTTGCATGTTGATCAACTGTTTGACACAAAAAAGTATTTACAAGAAGTTGAGCATCGAATTGCAATGAAACTTAACTTTGAGTTTAAAATAAAGAAATCAAATAGGTCTACATGCACAATTATTTGTGTGGAAACAATTACAATTGGCATTTGCGAATTACGAAGATAGTCATGAATGAGTTCTTTTTAATTCACAAGTATACACGGGGATATACTTGTGAAGTGGATATTCGTTAAAATGGTCATAGGCAAGCTTGATCATGATTTATTAGTTGACAGATAATACACAAATTTTAGGATTCATAGATGATTTACAGACCTGAAGACATCGCTAACAACATTCATCGGCAGTATAGGGTGGTCGTTAGCTACTAGAAGGCCAGGAAGGTTAAAGATTGTGCATTGAAGGATTTAATGGGTTTAATCGATAAGAGTTATGCTAAACTGATTAGGTATTGTCATAACATGGAGAGAACTAATCTTGACTCGATATTTCTTATTGAGACCAATGGCGAGAATTGCTTCAAATATTCTATATAACTCTTGGACAATGTATTTAAGGATTTCGAAATGTGATGTGACCTCTATTTCTAGTCAGTGGCACAACCCTAAAAGCTAGATTCGAAGGAAAGTTGATTATTGCTATATGTCAAGACATTACGTGCAAATTTACCTTCTTGTATTTGATATAGTTGTGTTGAGAATGATCTAGTGATATGTTGGCTCTTCACGAAGTTGAGTGAAGTAATTGATGACATCAAGAACTTTGCATTTGTACCTAATGGAGGTAGTCAATAATAAATGGTATCGCTGAAATTTTTTTCAAGGCACATCATGATTATTGCATATACCGTATAGAGGACAATTTGAAGATTATGTATCAGGACAGTGACATTATTGCATTGTTTAGAAGACTATAGAGGCTTACAATTTTAAAGATTTTGATAAGTTCATGGTCGAAATTGAAAATAAATCCACAATACATGGGATTATCTAATAGAGACGGTGATCGAACATTGGGTACTATCACATTTTTCAGGACGTCGATACAACATGATACCGTTGAACAATGTGGAGTTGCTCAATGTATTATTGAATAAAGATTGAGAATTACCAATTCTCACAATGATTGAACACGTTCATAACAAATTGCAGCAATATTTTTTATGACTGACGTGAGGAATTATAGAATTACACAAGTGTGCTAATCCCGGTTTATGAAAACAAACTCTTCAAAACTTTAGCGATGGCAAAAAAATTATGTGTGGACCAATGATGCGAACGTAATATCAAATACATAATGGACTTGATGGTAATACTTGCACGAATAGACATGTTCAGTTGTAGAGTTTTTCATGTGCGCATACAGTCACAATAGCTATGTATAGAGAATTTTCATCACACAGCTAATGCACTTATTATTATA